GGGCGCTGTTCCCTGGCGGGTGGGGGAAGCTTCTATCTAGCTGGCATCTGGTCGCAGAGCACAGCGTTTGGAGCCACAACGGCATGAATAAAACATCGGCGAAGCTTGAAATAACACTGCGTGAGTAACGAGGCTTGGAAATGTTCTGATCTGCTGGCGCCGGTCCGACGTGTCCCCTGAGCTAACGGCTAATTTATCACGGAGCCCCAGGGTCCGGTTTGACCCAATCCCACTTCTCTGAGCTCCTCCCCTTTGGGCCCCCAGTGTAAGGTACTCTCCCTCCCGTCTCTTTCTCCTGACCCAGCGATGGATGTCCGGTTTCAGTGATATTTTTAGGCCATTTGTTTGATAAGCTGCTGGTACCTCACCATCGGCTTCAGACTGACCAATACTGTGCCTTTAAGACCAGCTATAAATAAATGCAGTATCTGTGGCATTAATGGCGTGAGGTTATGCAGCCACACAGTACACAGTATCCCGTCAGGTGCTGCAATGAGGTGCAGTGCATGCTTTCGGCCATCGGGGGTCATCGATTGGTGTTGCTTCCAGGCGTTAAATATAGCTTCTTTTTAATTCCAGGGTTAATTTCTTACATAGGTCATGTGCAAAAGATGTGAAGCTCATCATTAAAACATTTTATGTTTCTGTTTTTAATTGCACTGAAAATTCTGCAAATGAGCCAATCTCTTATGTTTAGTCCTGGGGGCTGAACTGGCATATTTGGGCCCGTGCGTTATTAATGAGGCGGCCTGGGGAGGGAGATCAGGTTACACTGTGGGTTTGGTAGCTCGGGCCCGGCTGCTACTCTCAGAGCCTTGATTACAGGTTGAGTTTGTGAGTGAGTGTGTGAGAGAGAGATTCCAGGTATACTCTGACTCTGTCACTGAGTCAAGTTATTCCAAAACGGAACATCTTTTTGGTACAGTTGTCCTACAGGTTTGAAATAGGTTTCATGTAGTGCTTTCGCACCTGGGCCCGTGCTGAGCCTAAATTCCGGCCTGGTCGTTGCATTCCCACCAATAATAAAAGTGCTGCCGGGCTGATTACATTTGGGCCGGAGCTCATTTTTCTTGCCCCAAAAGACTGCTGGGCCAAAGTTGGGAGTGTGTGATGTCAGGAGGCGGGGTTAAAGTCATCAGAGCGGAAAGCAAACGTTTATGAAGCAATGCAGAGGGAATTGAAGAAGGCAAGAGTTATCAGAATAATGGAGCAAGATTAAAATATGAAAATGAATACAGGACGTCGAAAAGAGAGCTAAATAAAAACAGTGCTGGCTGCCCTAAAAACAAATATTATGGACCTGTTAACCAGATGGCAGGAGCACTGAACTCCGCGACCGCGTTAAAGGAACCAGGTAAGTTTTTATTATTGTGTTTGCTTTTAATGTGACTATGAACTTTAATTACGTTTGGTGCATGTCAGATGCCTTCCAAGGATCTGTCAAACAAAATAGCGTATGTGTTTTGTATGTTGGAAGTGTGTTGTAACTAGGCCTGCTTCATTTTTGAACAGTCAACCCATTTTTGTAACGACAACTTAGCTGACTAATAAGTTACCATTAGAATTTGACTTCAGTGTTCCAGCTAGTGATGCATAACGTACAGCTATCTGCTTTGTTACAGCCATGAAAATAACACTCACACTATCTTGCTTGAAATGTCAGTAATTTAAGTGAAATTTACCTATCATGTCTTTCATGTGCTTGTTTTAACACAGGTGAAGAGAATGCAGATGGACAGGAGCATTACTTTTTATATTTACTTATTCCATGTGAAAGATTTACATATTTCTTGATTATTTGTATATTTGTATTATTTGTAAATAGTTTGCCAATATGTTTTGTTCTTTTCTTGTCTATATTCTCCCGATTAAAGTGGTTCATCAGCGCATATTGCGCAGTAGTTCCTTCAGTGCCTTGTACTTATATGTGCATCCATACCTATCGCTTTTAAAGGTGAATGTGGGACACTGAGAAATTTCGAATGAACCCAGGAATGATGCCATATAAAGCTAAAAAAATATGTAAGCATTTCCATTAAATAAAAAAAAAGTCTTGTGTTCATTGCAACTCGCGCGGTCCTCCTTTTTTGTCTTCACTTCCAAAACGGTGCCCCTCCCACAATAACACGCATACACGGACATCATCGTTCTACCCTTTCGGCACCTAGTGCAGTGTGAATGCAAGACGGTTTTTGGTGAGGCCGAGAACTGACACCAGCTCCGGTGAGGGCTTGGTATGTAAGAGCTAATGGTCAATTCAACCAGCTTTTACATTTTTGTCTGGTTCCATAGCCAGGTTACTATCAGGGGCAACTATGCTTCTCTGTATCGTCATGGTTACTGAGTTGCCGTTTGTGCAGCTTTCCTGTTTGTCCGGTGAACCTCGTTTGCTGGACCACTGGGTGTTTTTGCAGTGGTACAGATGTGGGGTGCGTGTGGGAAGTGACTCTTCACATCCATTCCTGTGCATTGCGATTGTTTTCAGCAATTTTGCATCTTGTATTCTTTTGTGTCTTGTATGAATATTCTTATGTGTCTTGCTTCATAAAGTTTGGTGGGGGGGGGGTGCAAGCAGCGTGTTCAGTGCAGTAATTCTATGATCAGGCATATACATTTCCAGTAAGGGGATTGGATGGATGGATGGATGGATAGGTGACATTAGGGGACCAGAGTAGTTTACCTACCAGAGGATGATGACGTAGAATGTAAGTCAGGTAAAGAGCCTCACAAATCATGGTAGCGGAGTCCTAGGTTAGACTTCACTTGCCAGGAGGACATTGATTGTGACAGATTCTCATTGATTCGTTGTGAAAGGATGAGAGGCTCCCGTGTCTGTGGACATAAAGCCTGGCAGTGCAGTTTAAGCTGGAATAAACTCTGAGCGTCTTTTTCATGTAATTAGAATACAAATGAAGTCTGGTGGCCATCGACAGACATTCTCTCCGCAGACGTTAAGGATGTTACCCGTGGATGGGGACAAAATGCTTCGCGGATGTACGGAGTCACACTGGGCACAGTGCTCATCTTTGCATATAAACACAGACGGTGCCGAGAGATTATCCCTGACCTTAAAAGAAAAACACCCTCCATTCTCCAGGGTTTTAGTGAAACGCCCTGTTTTATTGCTGTAATTGTGTGTGTGTGTGTGTGTGTGTGTGCGCTGACTCGCATGGCCCTGCTCTCGCCGTGCCAGGATATTACATCTTCCCTCTTACCGGAGCCTAACAGGAAGCGCCATCTGTTTCCAACGGGCCGTGGCGCTGTCTTCGGTCTCGTCGGGCCACGCTGCACTCCACCACCTTGCTTCATCCCGCACCCGTCAGGGAATGGTTAGGGCTGTGGGTGTGGCCTGATCATGGAGCTGTCACTAGGAGTGTGGGCGTGGTCAGAGTTAACAGGGGTCATGATTGGTGGTAGCTAGAACTGTTCCATCCAGTGGAACTCATCTCTGGGGTCGTGGCCTGGGCCAAGGCTACTGAAAAAAATGGACCATTGTTGGACATGTTTTTTTTGTATTATCATTGTTTGGCGTGTTCCCTCTCTATCAATGGAAGTAAACAATAATTATATCCGCAGTAGGCAACCTTGGTCCTGCAGTGCTGGTATCCAGCAGGTTTTCTATCCTGCCTGACGAGTTACTATCTGCCTGAGATCAGGTGTGGCTCATCAGAGACCAGGTAGGATAGATACGGCCTCCGCGATCAGGGTTGCCTACCCCGATTATATAAATTCATATAAGAGAGTCATTTTTCAGTGACCGTTATAACTATTAGCTATTTAGCAATTTGCTAAATTAAGTCCCAAACAGTTTCTCCATTGCCTCACTCAACAGTGTAACAACAGCCTAACTGCACTGCACACAGCCCAACTGTGTACGTGACTCAGTCTAACTCAGCGGGCTTGTTGTGGGAAGTGAGTCTCTCTCGCTGTGTGAGTCCCTTTCACATACAAAACCCATTATTGTATCAGGTAAGAACAACAGGGGGTAGATAAATTTTCATTTGTACTCAAGTCTTCCACAACGATAAAATAACAGGTGTTGTGCGCTCCCAGTTGATATCAATGTAGTGAATAAAGGGGGGAAGCAGCCCCCCCCCCCCTTTGTGTATAGTGTGTAATATGTATGTGTGTGTGTGTGTGTATAATACACAGTACACCTGTGTGTGTGTGTGTGCGGGTTTCAGTGTGTTTATTAGCGAGAATAGGTGTTGTTTTTCTTTTCCTTGGAAAATACATAAGTAAGCTCATTTCATTTGACCTTTATTGGAGCATCTGCTAAATGACAATGTAATATAGCCTGTTAGTGTCGTCAAGCAGCTGAATTCCGTAATGGTGGGAATCCGGCTTCCTGGGCGAGTCACCAAGGCGTTGGATTCGATGATTCGGTTGGATGATTAGATGTTTTTTTTTTTGGCAAGGTGCCCCACCCGATGTTGAGACTCTGGGGCCAATGCCTCACGGCCTATTTGTCCTGATCCTCTCATGAGCCTTGCAGCCATGACCCTCCCCCAGGTTTATTCTGTTTTATCCTCCCTTTTCTACACCTCTTTTTGCGCTCCTCATTCCCATCACTCGCAGACTCGTTTGCTGACAGCAGCCTGAAAGCTGCTGCCCAATTTCTTGCAGTAACAGGCTGTTTTCTCAGTTTCTGGTGCCTGACTGTGATGTGGGGGCTGACGCTGACTTCACCCCCCCCCCCCCCCACCCCTCCCGAAGTGAAATCAGGTGTTGTTGCCACACGGCCATTTATTAATAACCAGCTATGGCCTGCTGAAAATGGAGATGCATGCGGCCAGGCTGAGTGAGCTGGTGCTGAACCAGTCTGAGTCTGACCTTTCCCCAGTGCGTCGGCTTTTGGCTGGGAGGAGGGAGAGTGACATCATTGTTGTAGACATGAATGTATGACCTGAAGGTTGTTGGTTTTGGACCCAGGTGGGCAGTTTTGGGTGGATGCAGTAGCTGTTCTTGGGGATTTCACCCAGTGCTTTTTCCTCTCTTAGACGGTCTCCCCCATGGGGGCGGGCATGGCAGAGTCTCCGGTATACACCAACCTTCAGGAGCTGAAGATCTCGCAGTCCAGCTTGCCCCCACAGCCCTCGAGCTCGCCGGTACATGCGCTTGGTGACTGGGAGACCCACCGCGACACCAGTGGCCGCCACTTCTACTTCAACCGCGCCACGCAGGAGCGGACCTGGAAACCGCCTCGTGCCCGTGATGCCACCAGCAGCGGGCAGGCCGAGACCCCAGGCTCCGCCGGGGACATCGAGGTACAAACCAGACTGGTGGGCCTCTCAGGCGGGCAGGTCCTGGGTGAAGCTCGCCCTCAGCACTAATCGGGGGTTATCGTACTGTTAGGGAGCCTTAATGTTTCATTAAGGAAGTGAACCTTGTGAAATGAGTGATCCTAGATCAGCCTGACCAGTCATTTCTTCCCCTGGAGGAACAAATGCACTTGAAAAAGGACATAGAAGTGAGATATAACGATCTTGTTTTTAAGCAGTCAGATGCAACTTTCCAGGTCCCAAATACTCTCTCTCAATAATATAAAGATGACCAAATGGTGCCACACTGCCCCCTTGTGGTCAGATTCTAATATCACAAGTGTGAGATGTCATTTGTATGTGTCTTTTGTAGCATGTCATTAAAATGCAAATCTGTTTTTTTTTTCCTGTCATTGGAAGGCCTCACTTCTGATTTCCAGATGCATTTATAATAAAAGGCCATTTAGTTTTGCTATTTTGGGAAGATGGTGGTACAGGAGGTAGTGCTATCGTTCGGCAACTGGAAGGTTGCAGGTTCGAGCCCTGGTTTCTCCTGACCCCATCAAAGTGTCCTTGAGCAAGACACTGAACCCCAAATTGCTCCCGGTGTTCAGGTTGGCGCCTTGCATGGCAGCCTTCGCCACTGGTGTATGAATGTGTGTGTGGATGGGTGAATGTGAGGCATAAAATTGTAAAGCGCTCTGAGTACTCGTAGGAGTAGAAAAGCGCTATATAAATGCAGTCCATTTACCATTTTTACCCACCCAAGGTTTATTCTTGATAAACATACCTTATCTGCCACCAGCTACAATCTGCTGGTTGTTGTGCTGTTTCTCATGTTTTTATCGTTACACCATCCCCCCCCCCCCCCCCCCCCCCCCCCCACAAGTGGAATTGCATTTACCAGGATTTGACTCACACGCCGAATCAAATTACGACCTTCATAAAACCTATACGCTTTTACGAAATATATAAGGGCATGTAGTTGGAGTGTGTGTGCGGGTCCTACCCCTAACCTTTCCAAGAAATAAATGCCCATCTTAGGGTCTGCACACTGTTTGAGTACAGAGCTACCGAGCCCTCGGCATGTCGACAGTGGACTCTGCTGGTGTTCCAAATAGAAGGCTGGGGCATTGTGGGTAATTAGCATTTTAGCATCTGCTCTCCCTTTATCTGCCACTCCTCACTCCTTTCTGGCACCTTCCATGCCTGCTTATCCAGTACCGCTACGTGATGGGCATCTAATTTAATCACCATGACTGAGCGTAGGTGTCTGGACTGTGTCGTCAGGTTTCTTCAGCTGTGATTGAACAGAAATCTTCCGTTGATTTGTTTATCGCTTTTGTTCTTTTGTCCTGCCCCTCCTCCTTTCCTTGCCCCCCCCCCCTCCCCAATGTGCCCCCCAGCCTCTGTCCTTGGAGGAAAACTGCTACAGTACACACTCCAGCCAGTCAGACAGCCAGTATGGGTCACCCCCCTGTGGCTGGTTCGAGTTGCTGGATGAGCATGGACACACTCTGTATGTCTCTGAATACACCAATGAGAAGGTACTGGGCTCTCTATCGCATGTTCCTTCGCATTCTCCTGCGGGGGGGGACGACGACACACAATTCACTGGTGTTGTTGAGTCAGGATCCATGTTTGTTAGAGGGTGTAGTAGTCTCACTGTAAATTGGTATGTGGTATGTGACAGAATAGGTGATACACTTAAAAGTACATGTTCTCTGCTTTAGGTGTCTCGGGTGAGTATAGTTTTTGTTTGGTAGTTGCCATTAATGGATTTGACCTTGGTGTGTCTGAACAAACATTTGGTCAAATGGACCAGAACCCGTCCTCTCTATCTATAACGAGTTCTGCTTTGCTAGGACTTTGACGTCCGTGTCTGTTTCCTCAGTGGATAAAGCATATGGACGACCAAGGCCGGCCGTACTACTACAGCGCCGACGGCTCCAGGTCCGAGTGGGAGCTGCCCAAAGTAGGTCGACCCACCTGCCAACGAGGCAGAAAGCCAGACCTGTGTTGTGATGTGCTTTATGCAAAGCAGCCTGTTTAAGAGCGAGCTGGACAGTGTTATTTTTAGGTAGGCAGCCGTGGGGGGGGGGGGGGGGGGGGGGGGAACTGAGCCTCTTTTACTTCCCCTGGCATTCCCTGTGCAGACAGATATTTCCTGTGTCTGGTCTGCAGACACGGCCTTTTACAAATGGCTGTTTCAGCTGTTTGTCGTGCTCCAGTACCACAGTCCTGATCAAAAACATAGGATTCATGTCAGTGACATACATTTGTACTAGAGAAAATTCAGTATAATCACAATAGTATATATTTGATCAAAAAGGCATTATTGGATGAATGTAATGGACAGTTTTTAAAAGCGGCCATCAAGCTGGGGTGTATTAAGCGTCTGAGGTCGGTGTTACATAAAGAAATTTCGACTTCAGCGCTTTATCTGGGTGGTAGCTTGTCCTGAGGTGGCCTCGTCATCTCCTATCGTGTTACCAGGTCTGTGTGGCTAATCCACTGATCCTGATGAGGATTAGGACCATGTAACAGTCTCACCTATCTGTTTGCCTTTCTCGGTGCTGCCCGTCTTGTTTCTGGAGATGAGGACATGGATGGTGCAGTGCCAAGGCCTTGTCATTTCACACTCTCTCCATCTTCCTCTTCACAGTACAGAGCCTCCCTCCCGCAGCCCATGGACGTGTCCAAGAGCCACAGTCTGGACCGGAAGCAGCCCGACCCCATCGTGTTGACCAAGTGGAGGCACAGTACCTGCATGTTAGACCTTAATGACAAGGTGTGACATTCGATTAATATCACTGCTGTCTCCCTCCAAGCTCAGGCTACCTTCTTAAGGTGTGGGGGGGGGGGAGGCTAACCCTTTCACAGCATGTTTGAACCCTGAAAAGGGGCCCAGATAACCTTTAGCAGCATTTGAGGACGCTGGAAGCACCTTTAGTTATCGATGCAAATGCTTTGGGCCCCGTAGCAGTCTTACCAATCGGTACCAGGGAGTTCGTGGTCCGAGCAGGTCACCATTGTCTAGTATAAATGACTTAAGGATGTTAGAAGAGCTGAAGCTGAAGGAAGTTTTCAACTCGGCTGCTAATTCGGTCACCCTTTCAGATATTTTTACACTTGAAGCAGTGACCGTTTCGGCTGTTTTTCCAGTCACATGACTGTCCCGTCAGTTAACACAGGTCCTGTTTCTGCCCAACTAGCATGTCTAGCCGTGTAGAGGCGGGACCAGGCAGGAAGAGCCGGGTTTGTCTCATTTTGCTTGATTTTCGCTCCACTTGTCCAATCGGGAACCTGCAAATAGAACAGTTTTGCCATGTCGACACTACACATTATGCATGAAATGGGAAGTGCTTTCTAATGTCAGTTGAAGCAGACTGGCCTTCGGGAAGTTCAGTAAATTTCCCAGTGGGCCAGATCGGCAAAGTATAGCAAGGGTGACCCCCCAAGCCTCCCCCACCCCAATCATTCTAGAAATTGGTGATTGTTTTGTGAATGTCATTGAAATCTGTACCAGTTTAGCACTGGCCCTTGGATGCTAGTGATTTGTTTCTGCCCTGAAGTTCATTAGGGAAAGCAAATGTTTTAATGTACTTGCTCTGTACAGGTCTGGTGATGGGAGAGCCAGTGGTCTTCCTGTAACACACACCAAGCATTTCCTGTAGTCGTGACAATTCACCTAGCCATGGTTCCCTGATCTGATTTTCCACCAGCGAATGGTCCGGTCTGCTTACGGAAACACCTTCCTGATTTTCCACCAGCGAATGGTCCGGTCTGCTTACGGAAACACCGTCCTGATTTCCCTTCTTCAGGCCACACCCTGCTCGAAATGAATAATGATGTATGATTATAACCACCGCATGATGTCTGCAGGATGCTGACAGCCCAATGAATGGAACACACATCTACTCCAGAGTTGTGATGGCCCATCAAAGGTGCCCTCTGCAGGGACATAGCTAAAAATTCTGGGCCACCTCACAAAATGTCACCTTGGGCAATCTGAAGAAATACAGTAGTAGAATTTATCGATCAGGGAGATCTCCCGGTAGTTTTTGTGAAGTTGGGGGGGAGGGTTGCAAAGTGGGGGCCCTATAAAGTGCTGGGAATCTGCCAGGGTGTTTGCGCCCTTACATTGCCCCTGGCCCTCTGACAGCACTTTGGGAGTGCGTTATCACGGGATGAGATGGATCTCTCTGGTTCAGCCCAGTCTGGACTTCATCATTACTGCATAGTTCTGATTAGCCATTTGGTTAAACTAATAAAATGTCCAGACTCCGGATATCCTTGAAGTTCATCAGTCATTCTCCGCTTGTTTGTTTTTCGTGTTGAGGAAACATAGTTAATATCCAGCCTGTGAGCAGGTAGCTTCTGTGATAAGGTGACTGCTTCTGGGTTATTCTCTCTTGTCCCTGTGTTGCTGAGTGACTCTTGCCTTGGCTTCGACTCTAGTCACCAACTGATCATGTAACTCTTGCTTGTAGGAGACCCAGACGGGCCCAAAGCAAGCCTCCCCAGATTCTGACTCCTGTCCCTCATCTCCCAAGCACCCCATCTGCGTTAGTATACCTTCATCCTCCTGCGTTAGTATACCTTCATCCTCCTTCCTGACCCACCCTCCATCCCTGCCCTTCTCTCACTTTCTCCTCTATCTTGGCTGCCTCAATGACCGTGTGGGCCAGGGTACTGGGCCTTCTCTGCTGTCTCAGCTCACTGATGGGGGGGGTTATCACTTTGTCCTCACCTCTCTGATGGTAGTTTAAGATCACCGCGTGACTCTGTGACTCTATGGCTGTTGTACATTCCTAACATGTTCATTGTCGTGTTTTACAAACGTCTATCACAGAGGCCTTTATTAACAAGAGCAATTTAAGAAATGTAAACGCCCCCTGCTCTTGGTCCAATAGGAATCCTTAAGCAAAAGCCAATCAGCAAATAGTTTTTGTGACCTCTAGCCAATCAGATTCTTGTTGGGGTTGCTGTGAGAGCCACACTGCTCTATAGCTTTTCTGTAGTGAGCTTGCACTGCGTGACTCTGTGACTCTATGGCTGTTGTACATTCCTCCCACGGTGCTAATATTGTGAAGTTTTTCAATGAATTCTCCTGAGTGTGCTGCTTCACGTCCTGCTGGTCTGATTTCCCGCCTTGCCGGTACCCTGTCCTGGGGGTGGCTGTGGTATTTCTTGTGACTCCTGCCGGCCCTTGTTAACGTCGCGCTTGTTCCCTTGATTTTGCAGCCGTCGGAGAAATGCGGCGTGCTGAACGTCACCAAGATCACAGATAATGGGAAGAAAGTCAGGTATGTATGAGGAAGCAGCTTTTGCATGACTGACTGACTTGTCCGGATGGAGCTCACTAACCAATCTCGGTCTTCAAAGTTTCGGATTCTGTTTGATGTCTTCTTGAAGCCTGTGATCATGGTGCCACCTTCTGTAGCATCCTGGAAACCACAGAGGACAAGTGTTGATATATCCATGTTGGGTTTGCAGGAAAAGCTGGACCTCTTCATGGACAGTGCTGCAGGGCACCTCCTTGCTGTTCGCCAAGGGCCAGGGAGGCGGGACCAGCTGGGTAGCTGTTCCATCCGGTGCCTGATGATAAATGGAGGACGGATATCTGAGTGGCCTCACAAACCCAGGCTGAATTTGAGTTCCTCTGGCATTCAGACTGACCTATATTGTGTGTGTCTACCAGCCTGGGTTTTGTTTGTGTGGTCCATGTATTTTTTTAAGCTAAAATTATCCTTACACTTTCCATTGCCGCAGGAAATAAGCTTAATTGCTTTGTGCCTGTGTGTTCGGTCAGATAGAGCCTTTAGGTGTTTAGCGAATGACTCAGAAGCTGGAAAAAACGTGACTTGACTTAAAATCGGCAAATATAGGTGTCTCTAGTTGTGGTAAAGAACATGTTCATTGTCGAGTTTTCCAAACATCTATCACAGAGACCTTTATTAACAAGAGCAATTTAAAAAATGTAGAAGCCCCCTGCTCTTGGGCCAATGGGAATCTTTAAGCAAAAGCCAATCAGCAAATGGTTTTCGTGACCTCTAGCCAATCAGATTCTTGTTGGGGTTGCTGTGAGAGCCACACTGCTCCATAGCTTTTTAGTAGTGAGCTTGCATGCCTTTTTTTTTCTCCCTGAGCTCTGTGCCATTCATTCTTTGTCTTTGATTTGTGTGTCTTCTCCTGTGTGGTGACATCATCGCCTTCTCTTCCCCACCCCCCCACCCCCCCCAAAGTCGTATTACCGCAGCGGCTCAATCCCCGAGCTGCTCTTCTCGCTGTTAAGCACCTGGAAGCGGCCGGCTAAGGCGCGGCGCGCCGTGTCCTACGGCCTTCCCGGGCTCGTCCCCACCGCCACTGTATGTGCCCCCCTACTCTCTCGGCATGCTGCCCCCTGTGTGTCCCGCCTGCGCTCTGCTCCTCTCTGCTCTCTGCTGCCTTGGACCCTGCCTCATAGGTGGGGTTCATGCTGATTGGCTGTTCTGTCCCAATCAAGTCCTGTGTCCAAGTCTCACCCTCATACCGGAGGTACTACATCCTCATTAAGAGCGTGTTGTGACAAGGTGACATTTAATGGGTCCGTGTGGTAGCTTCTCTGTCGGGATGCGAATGAGCGGTTTCTGCTGTTCTGAAATTTGGGAAATGGTGTTAATATGGTGAAGGGGGGTGTGGATGGTGTGGGGCAGCGGGTATTCTCCGTCGCTAACACACTTAGCACACTTACACCCCCTTGCTGGCTAGCGAGTCGGTCACTTGCACCGTCTAATGTCACTAAGCGGTGCGGGTGAGTAGTTTTTGCGTCTGTTTGCGGGATCCGCGCATGCAGTCACCAGCACCATGACGATGGCATGCTGACATGATCCATGATCTGTGAACCAGGTCGGTTGATGGGGGGGTGGTTAGGGCTGATACTTGACTAGAGAGCCAGGAAGTTGGTTTCTAAGAGGTGAGCATGCTGTGGTGTGATTGGTGGATGGGATTCCATTAGGGATCCCCTTAGAGCATGCTGCAGTCTGATTGGTGGATGGGATTGCCCAAAGAGCCCACTCCTGCCATTATCTCTGTTCCATGCGCTCCCCTTTCTGCCTAGAAGTTTGGAGGGAATCAGTCCAAGCCTGAGTTTACGGTGGACCTCAGAGGCGGCTCTGTTGAGTGGGCTTCCAGGGACAAGTCCAGCAAGAAGCACGTCATTGAGGTAAGCTGCTTAATTCCCTGCTGGGTGAAATACTCATTAGCTTTGTTTATAGGGATTGGTGATGGGACTGCTCTCTGTCTTCCCCTGCTGGTTAAATTGTCAAAGTTGCATGTTCTTCTCTATGCCTATCGCTTAAAATTTAATTCCGACAAATGAGGGAAGCTTATTGCGGCTGTGAGGGACAGTCATGTCAGTAGTCATTGCATGACCCTCCCACCCAATTTGACCTTTGGCCAATGATTTCCCCACCAGCTGAAAACTCGCCAAGGGACCGAGCTGCTGATTCAGTCGGAGATAGACAGCGTCATCAATGACTGGTACAAGGCCCTGGTTGAAACCATCAGTGCCCATGTGAGCCTGCCCTCTGCTTTCCTCCATTGAGCCACCAACATGGCTCGCATGACTGACCTACATATCATAAGATCGTGGAAGTAAATTGAATTTTGATAGTTTTAGTTACTTGTTTAATACTGTTTAATACAATTATCAAATTGTTGTGTGCATGAGCGCAGCTTGCAGTACATGAAGTTAAGATAGGAAGGTAGATGATGTAATTCTTTATCTGTCCACTTAGGGGCAGACTTGCTGTATGCGGGTCAAAGTTTTACAGGATTTTCATATTGATGACATGTGAGCCCGGTGCCAGAGCTGATTGGCTTAGGAACAAGATGGAGGCCTGATGCTGCCCCCATGACTGAAATAACTAAAGACTCCCCCTGACGCAGGCCTGGGAGTCAGATGAGGCCATTGAAGATGACTTCCCAGAGTCTCCGGGGGTCGAGAAGCAGGATAAGGAGAAGGACCACCGGGACAAGAAAAACAGAGGTCAGAGCCTGTTCCTCAACAGCTCCTGGGGCTTAACCCCCCCCAAGAGGCTTGCAGGATACGTGTATTTGCGAGAGTTCACCATTCCCAAGTATGAAACACAATCACCCTCCCCCCTTCTAGCCTTGAAGAGCTCTTCCAGCATAGACTCGGACCAGAAGAAGACCAGGATGAAGCTGAAGAAGTTCCTTACACGCCGTCCCACCCTGCAGGCAGTCCGGGACAAGGGCTACATCAAAGGTGAAGGAAACCAGGGTTTGATCACGGCTACAGCAAAGGTGGCAATGAACTTCTTCATCTGTTAAGTCTGGTTTAATTGTTAGAGCTGCTGTATTGTTAAACAGGGTGGGGGGACCCACTTTCTAACTCTGAAAGCCTCATTTCCAAAAACAAGGAGATGAAAGTGCTCTTCATGTTCAAAGGAACCCCGGAAGAACCTAAATCTGGAATGAGGGGAGATGAGGAGCACTCTGTGATGAGTGTGACCGAGTTTGGAGCGGTGGAGTTTGTACTTTGTAAAATAATGATCTCCCCTGGCTCCCCTGATTTATTGATGCTTATGACGTTACGCTGCTGTTGAGCCTGAGAGAAGAAGATGGCCGAGTGATTTTAGAGGCACTTAAGTGACCTGTCGCTGCCTTTAGCTTCCTGGGCCTTTGGGAGTGACACACACGTGTTGATCTTTCTGTTTTGTGACACTTTTGTGTCTGGACTCTTTGGGTCCTTCCTCAGATCAGGTATTTGGCTGCAGCCTGACCAGTCTCTGCCAGAGGGAGGACACCACAGTGCCCAACTTCGTCTGCACATGCATCGACCACGTCGAGCGCACAGGTCTGTCCAACTACCGTCTGTGTCCCTGAGCCGAGACTCAGGGGTGCTCTCGATGGCTGTGGTCTTGTTCCTGGACCCAAACTGAGCTGGTCTGTTTTCTGTGACACCCCCCAGGGCTGAACGTTGATGGTCTGTACCGAGTCAGCGGGAACTTGGCCGTCATACAGAAGCTTCGCTTTGCCGTCAATCACGGTACCTGCCGTCTCCTGCTGTCCCCAGCGAAGGCCAGATTCCATCAAAGAGATGAAGAAATGGGGAGGGTCTGAATGAAAATCTGCTCTCTTGTTCCTCCTCAGATGAGAAGGTTGATCTGAACGATGGAAAGTGGGAGGACATCCACGTCACCACAGGCGCTCTGAAGATGTTCTTTCGGGAGCTTCCGGAGCCGCTCTTTACTTATGGCCAGTTCAACGACTTTGTCAATGCCATCAGTAAGGAGCACGCTGGCTCGGGCTTTGTACCGCTATGTGATTCAGAAATTAGAGTTGCCCAAGTCGAACTTGTGCATTTACTTTATTTGTCCACTAGGTGCCGCCATATTACAGGAAAATACATTTTTGTTTTAATCGATGTGTGGCAGGCTTAGGATATTGTCTCACATAATGTAATATGACGTTAATGCATTTTTGCCTCTGTCTTTCCAGAATGTTCCGACTACAAGCAACGTGTGCATTCAATAAAAGATTTAATCAGGCAACTGCCGAAACCGAATCAGGACACGATGCAGGTGCTCTTCAGGCACCTCAGAAAGTAAGCGTCCGACTGGGGTGGGGGTGGGGGAACAGTCCTTACTTGAACTCATCACCCAATCAGATTATCCTGTTATGTCTATTACTGGGGTAGAGCTGGATTCACACCAACAGTATTATTAGCCTGAGACCTTCCCGAAGGCGGGGCGTTTGCACAGGTAGAAAGTAGTGAGGATTGAGGTGGGGGAGGGGTACTGTTGAAGGGGGTGTGGGCTTTTCTTTGCAGCTGGGGGTGGGGGGGGGGGTAGACTCCCATAGTCTAATGAACTGACTGAAGCTGACCACCTCTCCACAAGGGCAGGTTGGACAAAACAGCATCAATCAGGCAGAATCAATACTGAGCTGCTACATACTGCTATGGGGGGGCGGGGGGGCGGTGTCCATGGTGATACGAGGGGAGTGTGCTGTTTGTCCCAAATTCTTCATGCCATCGAGGCTTGCTTGTAGCCCCCCCCCGCAATGTTAATGCCCAGCTACAGTAACTGAATTATGTATCTGTGTGTCCTTACTGTGGGGTCATCGGGATGAGTAATGTGGTTACGGTAAACTGATTAGCGACGCGCAATGGTGCAGAGCGGGGCCCACAGTGGCGGCCTCCTCCTGCTCTCTCCTCGGGCTCCTTTTACACGCTACGCATCGATCGCATTCAGATACACGGCTGCATTAAAGGAAACGGGAAGTGTGTGTTTTTATGGTGTGTGACTCAGTGGGTTAGGTCACTGTGCCTGTGACTGGAAGGTCGCCAGTTCGAATCCCGTAGTTGGCAGAGTGTTTTCATGATTGAGCCCTTGAGCAAGGCCCTTAACCCCCAGTTAAATATTTATTTAATAAATTGAATCAACTTTGTGTATCTTAGCCCTGCTTTCCCAGTGCAGGAAGTGTCTCCCTTCCTTATTGGCATTCTCTCTCTCTCTCTCTCTCTCTCTCTCTCTCTCTCTCTCTCTCTCTACCCCCTGCACGCCTCCCAGGGTGGTTGAGCACGGTGATGCCAACCGCATGACGACACAAAGCATGGCCATCGTGTTTGGGCCCACGCTACTGCGACCCGAGACTGAGACAGCCAGCATCGCCGTGCACATGGTCTACCAGAACCAGATTGTGGAGCTCATTCTGCTGGAGTTTGATGGTATCTTCGGCAGGTAGAGCCCCTCCCCCCAAACCACCCCTCCTCCGCCACGGGGTTGAAGCTGCTGCCTCGCTGAAGCCAGACCCCACCAACCAAAGCCACTGATCTTTGTCTGAGGGCAAAACATGTAGCTTAAGGATGAGAATGACTGTGATGATGGGGCGGCTGGCTGCGGTCATGGCTGTGGTGATGAAGTAAAAATAAAAACACAGAATTGACTTTGCACTTAACATTTTGAGCCGCGTTACGTATGGCATGGATGCATCCGGTTGCAGGTTTCCAGTCTGCATTCGGTTGCAGACTAGACACGTGGCTGGCGCTGGGCACAGATAGGTCTGCATGTGCTGTCTAAAGAATGGGAGAGGATTATGGGATGTTGCCAGCAGGACTTGACCTTCTTGGTGGACAAGAAGAGTTCTGCGACCTCCCAGGCTCCAGGAGAGGCCCGTCAACCCCAAACTGTTAATGTCTTTAATGTTGCGACAAGATGGACTAGATCTCTCAGTTGAGGCTATGCAGATAATGTCGACTGATCGGATGCACGCTTGACTGGGAGGAGGCGTGGCTAACCTTCTGATGGTGGGGCCCGGGCTCTGCTGGAACGGCCTGCCATGTGGTATCAGTATTAAAGACCCCCCCCCCCCCCCCCCCCCCCCCCCGCAGCCTTTGAAGAAACGGCAGGTGCCGTGGGAGTGCAGCGGAGCGGGCGGATGAAGTCGTCTTCAGAAGGTGCGTTTTAGGAATGAAGAAGCTGCTTGTAAAGAGGAAGACTACTTCTGCCACCATTTGAACAGAGCCAAATAATTTCTTACAGCTTTCTTCCTGTGGAATGGCACGTGGGAACAGTGGGTCATCCGGTTCCGACCTTGTGGATTCGACGGTCTCCTTCCGCCTGTCGGCTGTGTACCTCCTTTCTGAATTATTTTTTGTTTGTTTTAATTTCCCAGTTCTCTGGAAGAGTGGTACTGAACAGAGCGTTACGCAGGTTTGTCTGTACAGTCTCTCTGTGAGGAAATGGCGCTGCAGAAACCTCTTGTACAGGGTTTTAAATCCTGGAAATTTCTGGAAAATGAAGTATGACTGCTTTTGAAGGTGGATGGTGACAACTGTAGGGAAAACATAAGATATTTGAATAAATGATGTCGGGAGTCAGTGGTTGAGTGGTCTGAGAGTGAAGGTCTTTCGTGTCTGTCTTTCAGGAGCCTGTCCAGCTACTTTATCTGTGATGTTTTTTTTTGACTAACTGCTGTTTGAGGCATTGCTGTATGTAATCTGAATAAAGAAGAGTAAAATATTAATTTTTGTTTTTTCCCCCTCTTCTGTTACACAGCAATCACCTATGGGTTGGGACAAACTAGTGGGTGTGGAGGTGTAGATGAAACTCACCCTCTGTATGCTGGTTTGATTTGGCTCTGAGGGTGTGTTGGGGATCTTTGACCTACTCCTGGTGTTTCATGAGGCGTCCTGGCCATCTTTTGCTTCCCCGTATATTTTTTCTGAACCCTAGATTGACTGGTTAGTTCCATTTTGGTGCCCTTATCTGTCCAGAGAGCCGCCCCCCCCCCCTTCCTCAGAGGAGCCACTGACGCACTGACAGTGAGCTGAATCCCCCACCCGATCTCAGCCCACTAGAGGCCAGTGAGACCATTAGAGTTGTAAATCACTGGACGGGCTTATTGATCTCTCTCTCAGGTGTCTTCATGGGGGGGTGGGGTCGCCCCGGCGACCATGGCGCCATAAAATGCCTTTAATGGCAGGTCCGGATTATGACTCTGCCGACACAGTGATGAAGTGCCACGATGCTGAGCTCTCGCTGTACACCTGGCGCCATCCGCCTGCCTGGAGGGTAATTAGCATCTTCGAGGTTAATTGCTTCATTTCTCACTGCAATTAAAGCTAGTTCGAGGTGTGCGGGGCCTCCGGCCGGGGCGTGTTCTGAGCTGGACTGCCTGAAAATGGGTCGTCTCCACAGGGAGGGATCAGTAACGGTAACCCTGGAAGAAATCTGTACTGTAGGTCTGGGTGGGGCTGGGGGTCGAGGGAGTGTGTCTGCTGGGATAGTGGAAACGCAGTTGGTTGCCACTCTTGTCAGGCTTGTGTTACACCAGTTTGACAGGTCTGAAAATGCCAGTTAGCAACCTTAGCCTTTAACCTGTTAGCTTTAAGATAAACCCTCTCATCTGCCACGTGCATGGTGACCCTGTCTCACACCAGATGTCAGAAGATGACGATGAGCTGTCCCCCTGTCTCTTAAAAGCTGCTGAGCTGCAGGTTTGGTTCCCTACTTGCCTCCAAATGGAGATGCTAAGGTGGAGAACCACTCCACTCTGCCCCTTCGTGTCTCCTTGGTGTTTGGGAGCCTCAGGGAGAAGGGGTGCAGGGGAGGTTACCTCGCATGAATAATTCAACGTTTGGGGCGAATCCAAGGCCCCAGAGATTGTTTTTCCGAGCCGGTCCTACCCTTCGTGTTTCCATGAGTACGGAGACAGGACCGGCATCCTTTGGCAAACGGGCTGTTAGCCGCCACATAGCATTAGCATCCCCTCTGTTTTTCCATGGTCTCGCTGGCAGTAGAATGTGTTCTGCAGCCAGTTTGGCACGAGCACCACCACGTCCTCGTCAGCTACATCCTAGCATCTGCCCTGTCCTTTTGCCATGCTCAGCAACCTAATGCAAACACCACTCAGATCACACATTTTTGTGGGGTCCCCTGTAGGCCACAAATGGTCCCAACCCAAGGGGGGCCCAAAATGACAGACCTGCCCCTGCTTGGACTGGCTGTCCGCCTCTCTGTGTCTGTCCTTGCTTGGTCTACTTTGGCCATCATTACAGGCAAGAAACCTGCTGATTGCTGGCGATTGTGGCTTGTCAGTGAATGAAGGGTTTGTTTTTCATGGACAGAGCTGGCTCACAAGTTGACTCCCTCTACCTGTGGGTCACAGAAATGGACCCAGAGCCTCACTGAAATTGCCCTGACCAATGGGAGGCAGAGTTACTCCAAAGCTAAGTGCATCCACCTGCTTCTGATGCGCATGTTCAGTCTCATTTTGAAGCCCCTGCTGAATTGCCCAATGGGAGTGCCCTGTGCCACACCCAGTATTTATGCTGCTATGACTTTGGCTGGGGTGGTGGATGTGGTTTATATTTTCCAAGAGCAACAGTAGTTTAACTGCCTTGAAAAACTTGGGTGGGGTGGAGAAGATGTGGTGGAGGGAGAGGGAGGGGGATATACTCTGCAGGTACTCTGAGTTAGGTTACTACACGTGGTGACCCCCCCCCCCAAAAAAAAAAGAAAAAATCATAAAGACACCACTGCTATCCTGTTCAGGTATGATCCGCTACCACGTTCACCAGTCCTTGAGGTAATATGCGTGTAGTACTATAAGGATAAAAACTGCCCTGATCTGTCAGTGGTTTGTTTGTATAGTTTGACGAGTGAAAACACACAGACTTTGTAGTCCTCATTTGAGCTGCTTACGTTTTTTTCCCCCCCGCATTACCTGAGCTTAAACAGGCACTTATCTCTGCCTGTAAAATCTGCACTGTTGGACGTGGGATGTGAGGTGGAAGCCCACCAGTTACGGATGAGCGATGTTAGTCCAGTCGTAGGATTTTTAAAACCGGTCTTGCGAACTCAGAGCCCCAGAAGCCCGTATTGTCACCGACTGAGGATGTCTGGAACCTGATTTAGCAGGTATGTAAGATGACTGGCTCAGAATTAATGTTTGCTGGGGGGTGGGAGAGTGGGATGGTGGGGGCGTGTCTGAAACATGAAGGTAGGAGATGCGGTCCAGGAGCGACACTTAATGGAATTGATTTCATTACCTCTCCCTCTCCTAGACTGGAAGGAGGTTCCCCCCCAGCCACCCCCATATTGCTAATGACCATCATTCACAAGTCACCGCCTCCCCTCGCATCCTGTGTGCATTGTGCTGTGTAAGCAAGTGAATCCAGGCACAAACTTCCTGTCCATCAGTCCTGAAGAGTTAAATATAATGTGGTGTAGCTCATTTAACCATCTGCCGCGCAACAGGCCAGTGCCCTCAGTGGGACCCCCCCCTTTAGACAATCTGAAGGGGCAGCATGATTTCCCATGAGACCCAAGAGGGTCACTTGTTTGATGTGGGTGGGGTGGACCGTTTTACAGGATAGCTCGGTCCGTTTGGTTTCACCTTGAGGTATCAGAGATTTCTGTCAAACTCCTGCCGTCTGTGTATTTCTGAAGAACATCATTAATGATTGGCGGGGGGGGGGGGGGGGGGGGGGGGGGGGCGGCTGGTGAGGCGATCCTGATTAGTGAACAGGAGAACATCGCGGAAGCCCCAGACAGGTGCATGCGGGGACCACCGGGCACGTTTTCGCCAATGTGATCAGATGTGTCGCAGGCCAGCTGGAGAAGCCTTCGCTTTCCCTCAGTGGGGCCCCTCCCACCCCTCTGCCTGCCAGCCCGCACATAAAGAGATTGGGCTGTAGCTGCTGCCAGCATCTCAATTGGCTAATAGCTTCATGCTGAGGTCTGCACACGTTCAGAGGAGAAAGAGCTGACCGTGCACGGGCTTGGTCCTGGTCCCACTGCAAAAGTGAAGCGCTGATAGCTAGTTAGTAGCTACTGTCTTAAGATAAAAGGGTACATTAATCGATGAATGTGTGACAGAGGGCCGGAGGTACTGTGGAGCATCACTTAGCCGTCTGTGCTATGCCCTGTGGAGTCTGGCATTGCCGTGGCCATGAAGGGGTCAGAGCAAGCAGGTTTCCTACAGGTCTCCACTCTCCACGTGACTCCCCGTGTTTTCAGGGATGTGTCTCTTTAAGAAGATGACTGTCATATGACAGGTGGTATGTGATGTTATAATGGATGTGGTTCCTCCTGTGTTTCTAGTCTCTTGTGTAATAATAAAAGCAGTTAAGGTTTGATAATGACTCAAAGGCAGAGAAAAGGAGAAATATCTGTTTTGGAGGAAGCTTGAAAACTCATTCTAAGACCCATGCCTCTGCGGTGTTTCCCATCACTCAAATGAGGTTTGGGGCCCCCTGTTGGCCACAAACTGTCCCTACACTAGGGCGCTCATGGGAGCACCAGAGTGACTTTGTTTTTTTTTTTTGTTTTTTTAGTGTGGCCCCAGAAGCAAAAACTCTTCCCATGGGTCCCAAAGCACAGCCTATGCACAGATTTGACAGACGGCCATCCCTGTGGTGTTTGGCAACGGCCACCAGAGGGTACAAAAGACCGTTTCTGATCCCCGTCTTTGGGGAGGGGGGGGGGGCACCAACCTGCCGTGGGCCCTATTGTAGTCTAATCAGATTAAGTTCCTGGAATGGGTTTCTGTCTTGGCCCAGGCGGGGCTGGCACAGTGCTGGCCTCTCGCCAAAGCCGTCTCTCTTTGTTTTACATCGTTATCCCGAGACGCAGCCCATCGATGGGGGGGGGGGGCCTCACCTGCAGTCTGTGGTTCAAGGCCAGAAGGAGAGGCTTATCGAGCCATGGGGTGCCACGGAGCATGAGCATTCGCCATGGGAGGAGGGACGTAGCTCAATTTGGGGAGTGGGGGGGGGGGTCAACGAATCCCAGGGAGTCAGGATTGGTGGGCTCACTGATGCTGTGCCATCTGGCCCATTGGTGTGGGGTGTGGCTGGGGAGATGGGCCTGTGTGGGTGAAGACCTGTGGGGGGAGGGGGCACCCGTGATGAGAGTGCAGTGATGGAGTGATAGAGTGTCTGTGTGAAAGAGGATGCTGGTGGAGTGATAGAGATGCAAATGGACACCTGGGCTCGTTCGGGGGGGGTGGGGGGTGAGGACATCTAATCCACATGGAGGTTGACTGCCCTGATTATTCTGTTGCAGCACCGGCAAACGTGTGACCAGCCAGGGGTGCTGCACATGTCGCAGTGTGTGATCACTGCTGGTGTGTGTAAATGACAGGACTGATCTATCTAATCTCCTTGCTGCAGAAAGGACCCCCATCCAGACTAGAGGGTGGGGTTCAAGGTCTATCCCTGAGGCTTGGGGGGCAAGAGAGACCAGAGAGTGAGGTCCACACTGGTGCATGACCCTGATGAAGTCCTAATGAAGTGAAACAACATGAAGCTTTGGGTCTGATTGCAGGGTCATCCGTCTGTCACCCCTGGAGCATTTTTTTTGGGGGGGGCAGGTTGAGTGCCTTGCTCAACGGCCCAATGGGATTCAAACCAGTGATCATCAGATCACAGGCACTTACCTCCTGAGCCACACGCCACTGGTGGTGTAAACATCTCCCCACCTGTAAGCTTTACTGTTCTGCACATGAGCCTTTCTGCTACA